CAAACACATGGTATCTTGCATAGATAAGCAATCAGTGGCCAAAAGAAAACTCTGGAATGTTCGAAAGGAATATTTTACTCATCGGAATTTATCGCCGACACGCATCAACAACACTCAGCTTCTCATCTCCAGCGTCGATCAATAAATCGATTTCGATTTATCAGACCTATCTATATCGATTCAGTCCCACATAAGGATCACATCTTATTGGATAGTGGTAATTTCTAAGTTGAAAACCATCTTAACACTACTTAGCGGGCTCAAAGTCGCCTTACTGAGGAATCTCTTAGCCAAAACTAGTGAAAAAGTAAAAATAAAGAAAAAAACGATAAAGCACTGGATGGAAAAGCTAGGGATAAGAGCTGTTGCGCATTGCCATCATTTCCACAGAAAATATTACCAGTGTGAAATTTTTAATTAAATTTCCAAAAATAAGTTCATTATTAGAGTAAGGAGAGACAAGTATATAGCTGCTTTTTTTAAAAACTGGAACTTGAAAAGAACGACAAGAAGTTAACACTATCGGCTTTCTTCTAGGAGCTCTCACAAAATCTACAATGGCTATGTGATGTGTTCGCTTATTTCAAAAAAAATTTTCTAGTTGTATGATAAGGATATAGTAGAGATACCGATCGGTAGATGATCATCTTGGGAGCAATGGGGTTGTCTAGCTTAAACAGCTCCATATGGTCGTGATTTTCGACTATGAAAACAGCGAGGTAATGAGGATAGCCATCAGACATCCTTTGGCTCAACACAGGCGCTCCGCCTCTCTACTCCTCCTCGCTTCGTAGGGCCTCATTCTCTAGTCGTCCTCTTCCTTTACGATCAAAAAGCAAACAGCATATTATTCGCTGGAAATTTAAATCTCCTTGAGAATTCAGACTCGTCAATACTACATTTAAACTGCGGCTCTACAAACTTCTTTCATTAGAAAAATCATTATGTGAAAAAATCGAGAAGAGATGGGGAAAGGGCAGCGCGATCACTATTCTGGTAATGTCCTGAATAATGCATCCATTCTTCAGAAGCGGTCATTCATTCACCGTCTTCGACGTCGTCGACGTCGTCACTCCGTCGTGGTCGTGGTCACCCATGAATGATGAGTGCCTAACCTAACAGCCTTTGAAGTAATGTGACGCCTGTAAACACTTGAGATCTGAATACGTCAGCAATAGCTAGCAAAAAGGAACGGGATCCTAATAGATAATCGAAAATTTCTCAAAATAAACGCGGAAAAAACTCGTCTGGGTTATATTTTCAAGAACTTTTGCTCTCCTTCTATCGATGAACAAATAACATTAAAGCGCAGTGATTATTTGTTCAGGGCAAATTTCCTTCTAACAACAGGGTTCCTAAGCTTTCATTATTTATAGGTTATAAAAGATAAGCAAATGAATGGAAGTCATATATGGTGAGAAGCTTCGAAGTTATCCCAACTTAATTTTAAAAAAACAATGAGTAGATCAAAGACACGAAGTCGTTTAGGCCCCAGGAGGGTCAGTCGGCTAAGAACAGCGTCACTTAGAAGTGCTCATTGGAGCTTATCTGATCCCACGCCTACCACACAACGCTCACACGGAGAGTAGATGAAGATTTTAATTACTAAAGTAGTATAGAAACTGCAAAACAAATACCAACATTTTTTGGTAAGTGTGGCCTGACACATAAGAATCGATTTATTTACTTGATATGGAATGAGTGAGTGAAGGATGGATCAAGGAATGAACGACAAAACCGCAACACATTCAATGAAACATGCCTAGAAATTTCTACTTCAGTGGTTCGATTATGAACAGACATTTAGCAGTATTAAACCTATACAAATAAAATGCCTATTCGCTTTTAATAACTCGCTTTAATAACTTTTGACCTTTAATAAGCCCCACACGTAACATGGCTCTGAGGAAGGCGAAGTCGCCGAAACGTCAGCCATCGACCAACAACATCAAAAACAACGACAACGACAACGAAGACCTGTACCAACCTCGCGTCAGCTTAAGAAGATTAGTTTACAAGATCATATAAATAAATATTCACTTTTATTTCAACTAAATAGCTGGCAATGAAGGCGAGGAGAGTGAACGCGAGTCGACACCTGTCGGTTGACATCTTGCGCTCGAGGTATGCTATTGTCTTTGTGAGGAGGGAGTTGATAATCAGCAAACATCTCTCTGATAAGCTGGATTGCTTGTCGAAGCCAGTTTATGAAAACATTTACAAACTATTTCTATTTGCATAAATAAAAGCGAATGTAATTTGAAATGATAAGCCTGCCGAGAAATTGCCGAGAAATTTTTGAAGAATGGTGGTCCTGGGGTTGGTGGTTTTTTTTTTAATATTATAAACGTGTCCGCCCACCTTTTCCCACCCTTTCTGGAACAAAAAACATCTGACTTCGTCCCCATCGTTTCGATTCAACAGTATTAACGCGTTAACGTATGCGTCGGAGACCTGGTCGACGCGTAAATAGGATGAAAAATCACTCAGCGTTATTAAAAGCGCAGTCGACAGGACGATGCTAGGAGTATCCCGTTTCACAGAAGTAAGGGATGGGATCCGAAGCTCCAACCTGCGTCAACGATCAAAAATCAAAGATACCGTTCGGTACGCCAAACAGTCGAAAATAGGTGGCCCGGACACGTAGTGCATATGGACATCGATGGACAAGAGCCGTTAGTGACTGGATTCCTCGTGATGTCAAACATACTGCAGGATGACCACCGACTCGATGGGTCAGAGTTCTTCACAAAGAGCCTTGAAGAAAGATATGACGCTCGACGAGTCCCTAGAGCCAGCAGAACTCACTGGGCTACTCTTGCAGTTCGATTCACCTGATGATCAACGGGACTACAGGTGACAGATGAATATTATAAAAGTGACTCTGTAAGCATTCACTTTTCAAAGAAGGTCGTGTGTCGTAACCAGTTGAAGATTTGAACTAGCTGGAAAAGTGGGAATAAATAGAAGACCTTAAGACTAATTTCGAATTTTCGATTACTTCAAAGAACGACGTAAGAAAATGTTTCAAGCATTGATAAATAGTGGGAAAACTGCAACTCGTCGCGCTACTCCACATTATTTTGAAGTAATTAAATTTGACAGTACTAAAATTGACTTTTCATAAAAAGAGATTTAAGAAATTTACGATAAATATCGGTTTTGAGTGAGGGAGATTACTAAAAGGTTCCTAAAACCCTTGATGAGAATGACGCGCGACACATAGCGCGGCAAAAAAAAGCCGGATGAAGTGTTCCGTGAAGCCAGAGGATCAGAAAAAATCTGCGAACAAGCGTTCCAATATTTGAGATCTTTGCTCTTTCTTATTTTTTCCCATTCAAAGTCTTTCCGAAAGACAAATGCAACTGCCTGTAGAGAGTTTGTTATGAAGCAGCTCTCTGAATCCAGAATGTTCTCACCCTCGGGAAAATCTCGGCCGTTACCTATGGCTTTCCCATAGCTCTCGAAAAGCAATAGCGTTTTGCCACTTATCTCCCTTGAATGTGTGCCTAGGTGCTCCGGGCCATGAAAAAACTATTAAAGAGTCTATTGTCGCCTGTTTAAATGAAGAACATAAAAAGAGGTAAGCGATCCTTTAGAAATAAGCCACGAGTCGTCGAGTCCATTACGCATCAAGAGATCACTGAATACATATCCGGCCTGTAAAATGAGTTTCGGATGCTTGTTAATATATCTTAACAGTGTTTTCACCATTCCAGGTGAAAATGATATCGAACTGTGACTCCGGAAAGATAAAGAGATTGCTTAGTCCGGAAAGTGGGATCGAACCAACGACCATATGTTTGCACGACGTGATAGCTCTGATTGCTGGACTATACGCGCTAATTTATCAGAATGCTGCAGAGGGTTTTACTGGAAAATGAACAAAAAACCTTGCCTGAATGAATAAAACGAGTTCATGAATGGCTGCAACCGATGAGGGCAAACTCAGGGCAGTGCCAATGAAGTCCTCTGTCTTCTTTACCCACGAATAAATATGATTTTAACATTGGAAGCTTTTCGTATGACATCACTTTAAAACTAAGTAGTCAATTTTGTTTACACATTTGTACCATTTGTCAGGAAAAGATCGCCACCATATAAAGTAGTTTGAGAAATACCTTCCCGTATTATTAAGCCAATAGGAGATTGATGAAAAGGTTCATTCTGTCTACTTTCAGACATCCCCTCTTGCTCACTCTGAGATCCTCGGGTCTGTGGACAATGAAGACGTCGAAACGTCAGGCGAATAAACCTTTTCATTGATCTCGTGTTAGCTTAATAATCAAGGAAGGTATTGGTTAGCAATACTGTAGTTGAATAACGGTCGTTTTGGAAAATTTAAACAAAATACTTTAGTACCAATAGTAAGACTCCATTATAATTTTCCGAAGACGATCGAAGTAATTTTGTGGTTGAAAAAATTCATCGGCACGTCTTAACTCTCACATACTCATCTACATCGGGTCTTTTGAGGTCGTAGGTAAAACGAGCGATGAACGCCTGACAAAAAAAGGTCGCAGTGTTTTTCCAAAAAAGGAAGTTGTGCGAAAAGAAAATGAGAATGGGTAGTGAAGGCTGAGAACATTTGGAAAAATTATGAGGACTCCAGCTTTATGTTGGTTTTTCGATTTCCTGCCAAAAAGCGAAATCGGTCCGGGATTTCTATGACACGCCCATTTTCGTATATGTTTCAAGGGGTTCCACTAGAAAGCATCGCAGTCAATTCAATAATGACAATCATGAGCGAATTCCCGGAGGATTAATGGACAATGAGGGAGATAGGGATAGAGGGGGAAAAAGGAAAAAAGGAAGAAAAAGGAAAGCAGAAACAAATACAGATCGAGAGAAAGAAGAAGGAGGAATAGGTAGAAAGACGGAAAGAGGCAATGACCATGAGGGTATCAGAGAATTAGATAATGAGAGAATCAAAATTAATGATAGGAAGAAAGTTTCTTCAGCATTGAAGAAGTAAGTAGGAAAGATAGGGATAGAAAGCAATGGAGAGAACGATGAATTGTGGAGGAAAGAGAAACAGGAAGCGAATAAAAGAGATGGAAAGGAAAAGAGAGACGAAAATAGGTAAAAACGTAGTCCTATCCATAGCGATAAACTTCGTAGTGAATTGTAATACACTCTCTGATCTCTCAAATTTTTTTCGACCAGCCTTTATTTTCACTTATTTGTCACAATCTGGCTTCTAAACCCATTTTCAACTTCTTTTTTCTAAAACCAGTTGTTCTGCGCTTGCTATTACTTGTTTGATTCATTTATTTTCTGTAGAAAGGTAGAGCATGTGTGGCGCAGTGGTCGGAGGAGCCCATCAACATACACGTAGAATCGATCCCCACGCCCATGACCCACCAAGCCTTCCATTCCTCTGGGGTCGGCAAATTGGTACCAGTCTTGTCTGGGTGGATAACAGCACTGGCTCGATAGATCGGTAGGCTACCGCTGGTCATTGTAAAGGTTAGATATGCATTCATCACCTCCAAACGATGCTTGATGAAGTCGTATGCATGGCGCATGCCGTAGGGGTTGCTCAACGCAGACAGCTTTTTTTAGTTTTAATTTTTATAAGCGATTTTCATGTTACTCGTTGGAAATTGGAACTGATTTTTCGTATAAGTAAATAGCGACCGTTCTAGTTGACGACGTGTACAAAACTACAGTAATTCTTATCTTCGAACCTTTGAAGATGAAGCATTACGGATACATTAGAACAAGTACCGAAAGCACCAAAAGTCGGAAGAATCAGGAAATTTTTTTGAGTTTTCTCTACCTGGTCACGTTTCCAAAGTTCATTGAAAATTTCAACAACGGTTAACATTTGGCTGGGTGTTTACTACTGCAGGTGCTCCTTCGACTGAAGGAGTAATACTTTTCCTGATCATTGATGCACTAGAGGCCCACTTACCATCGGTCTTCAGATCATAGCAGATGCACACTGCTGAAAGGAAAACGACGAAGATTAATAGTTCAGAGTTTTAAGTGAAAAATTTCGAGGACGAATTCTTATGATTGTATTCTTTCTTTGATGAGCTTACACGAGGTTGATAATGATGTTTATTTTCGGCTAACGTTTCGACGTCTTCGTCTTCCTCAGAGCCGATGATCCGAGTCGATGGTCCTCGCTTGTTATTCGTCTCGACGTGGCAGCTTCGCCTTCGTGTCGAGCCAGGTCTTCCTCAGTGAGCCATCTCCTCGGATGAGGCATCCTCACTCAGTGATGCCCTTTTATACACGGTGCTGATGGTCGATATAATGATAATGTCCGGTGACAACAACTTGTTTTGATACCGAGGTTCAAGGAAAGTCGGTTTCGAAATATTACTACGCTTTGTGCTAGCTGATAACAACACCGACTTCTGCGCGATGTGCGCAATGGTGTATGTCCGGAAGAAAATCAAAACCGGACATTATCATTATATCGACCATCAGCACCGTGTATAAAAGGGCATCACTGAGTGAGGATGCCTCATCCGAGGAGATGGCTCACTGAGGAAGACCTGGCTCGACACGAAGGCGAAGCTGCCACGTCGAGACGAATAACAAGCGAGGACCATCGACTCGGATCATCGGCTCTGAGGAAGACGAAGACGTCGAAACGTTAGCCGAAAATAAACATCATTATCAACCTCGTGTAAGCTCATCAAAGAAAGAATACA